AAACGCCGTAAAGCGGGGCCCTCCTGTATATATTTCTAAACTGTTGTATTCTGAGCACCTCTGCAAAAACAGTGATTATGTGTGAGTGAGGTGAAAGTATTGAATGATAATGAAAGTATTTTCTTTTTGGGGATTTTCTTTCTTTCTGGGTCACCCTGCCTTGGTGGGAGATGTCCGACTTGTTAAAAAGAAAAATAATAATAATTGGATATTGGACGGTGACATCACTTGTTTACTCTTGAACACAGCAAAGAATCGAACATTTCTGCTACTGCTATAATAATAATAATAATAATAATTAATAATAATAATAATAATTGGATATTGGATGGTGACCATTTGTTTACTCTTGAACATGGCAAAGAATCAAACATTTCTGCTACTGCTAATAATAATAATTGGATACTGGACGGTGACATCATTTGTTTACTCTTGAACATGGCAAAGAATTGAACATTTCTGCTACTGCTACTACTACTACTAATAATACAATAAAACTGAAGAAGGAAATTGTACCAAAATACAAGGGTTGAAGCAGTGGTGGAGGAAGTGGTTGAGGCATCGTTAGTCAGTGTGGCTTTGTTTATGCTGGAGTGAGCATTAGCCTCTGCGCTCTTCCAAACATTTCACAATAATTCATTGTGTTTGGTGCTTGTTGATTGAGTGTGACTGCTACATAATTAACCATGGGCCCAAAGAAATTTGGTAAGGAAATTGAGAAACACGATAGAACTGAAAAAAGAAATTGTACAAAAATACGAGGCAGTGGTGGAGGCAGTACAATATTTTACGATGTTTTCATGTACATATTTTATGATTGTCATAAGAACATAAGAAAGGAGGCACACTGCAGTAGGCCTGTTGGCCCATACTAGGTAGGTCCTTCACAAATCCAACCCACTAACAGAATAAACGCTACCCAAGCAATAAGCTTTGATAATTCTATTTACTCACGTGCAAGTCCCACTCAAATCCAACCCCTCTCACTCATGTACTTATCCAACCTAAATTTGAAACTACCCAAGGTTTTTGCTTTGATAGGACCTTGGGTAACTTTAAAAAGAGATTGGACAAATATATGAGTGGGAGGAGCATGTATGTATTTTAAGATGTTTTCATGTGCTTTATGATTCTTCATGGTTCAATAGCTTAAGGAAGCAGTATTTTATTATATTTCCCTACAATATATTGGGGCACCAAACATTCACGATTTTTCAACATTTGCGAGGCTCTTGATCCCCTAACCCTCGTGAATGTTGAGGGAGACCTGTAAAACATTTTAACAAAAACACAACTCTCCAATAAACTACCACCATTGGGAATACTACACTGAAAAATATGTACTGGTCACTGTGTATTAGTAATACCTGTTGGGTTGAGCCACAGTAGTCTCATCAATGAACAGTTAGCAGTGGCTAAGTTCAGTAGAATTATCTGTTATTTGACAATTAGGCTGAATTGGAGTGTTAATATTGTCAAATTTTAAACCATTTGGAACAAATGAGGTATCTTCCTGCTATTTTCCCACCCTGTTGGTTGTTGTTTCTAAGATACAGTAAACCCTCGATACAATGGACTAATAGGAAGGCTTGTCCAAGTGCTCATTAAATCAGAATAATGTTTAAAAAAATAACAAAAAATGTACCAAAGTACTTGATTGTATGCCAAATATAGTATTGTACACACAGTTCAGAGATATACTGCAATAAACATTGAAAACAATGGATTTTGCCAATAATTTTAAAAGTGTTATATTGAGGGTTTACTGTATTTGGTGGTGTTAGTAGAGCAACTAGTGGTTCTCTCATGACTTGCAGCATTGTCATGGCTGGTGGTGCAGGATAGATGGTGGTGGTGGTAGTGCAGTATAGATGGTGGTGGTAGTGCCACAGCTGGTGGTGCAGTATAGATGGTGGTGGTAGTGCCACAGCTGGTGGTGCAGTATAGATGGTGGTGGTAGTGCCACAGCTGGTGGTGCAGTATAGTTGGTGGTGGTGGTATAGATGGTAGTGCTATCACAGCTGGTGGTGTTGTTACAGTTGGTGGTGGTGTTACTGTTGGTGGTGATGTTACTGTTGGTGGTGGTATTACTGTTGGTGGTGGTATTACTGTTGGTGGTGGTATTACTGTTGGTGGTGGTATTACTGTTGGTGGTGGTATTACTGTTGGTGGTGGTATTACTGTTGGTGGTGGTGTTACAGCTAATGGTAGTGTCACAACTAGTGGTGGTGTCACAACTAGTGGTGGTGTTATGGTTGTTAATACTGTCACAGCTGGTGGTACTGTCACAGCTTTATATTTCCCTGTGAGTCAGCACGATATCAGCAGGTCATTGTGATTGCTTACCAAGAGCAATTTTATCTACAATGCTCTGTGCCCTGCCTGGAATTTTTTTCCTAGGCATGAGGGGCCTGGCAACTCCAACAACTCAGCTGAGAACTAAAATAGCAGTGTGCAGCAAATCTGAAGGCTATGGAAATTATGCATATTAAGGCATCAATCCTTTGTGTACCACTATGTCATACACAGATTGGTCCTTTGCATACAAGTAAATTCAAAGGGGTTTGCTGAGTTTTAGTCAGACAAGCACCTGAAGAAAGAGGGGATCTCCCCACAAAGAGGATATACACCCATGAGCATAAACCACCAGTTTTAGAAATCCTTTAGATTGAATAAAATTTCCTGTTACTTTTTTTTTTTTTTTACCTTAACGGCCTTCTCCCCACCAAGGCAGGGTGACCCAGAAAAGGAAACACATTCACTATCACACAATTGGTGTCTTGCCAGAAGTGTGCTGATATAACAATCAGTTTATCCCCAAACAGCAATATCTCCACCCTTCCTGTAGAGTTCCGGCACTGCCCTTCCTACATCTAGGACTCAAATTTGGTGAACTGGTTTCCACTGAGTCCCTTCAAAATTGTTAATTTGCCCATTTAAAAAGCAGTTGTCTCCATTCGCTCCTAACACACTTGCACATGCCTGCTGGATGCTCAAGTCTCTAAAACTCAAAGCCTCCTTTACCCCCTCCCTCCAACTATTCCTGGGACCATCACTTCCGCTCACCCTTATCTTACACACAAGATTTATATACAGCCTCTCCTCACTTAATGACGGAGTTCTGTTCCTAAGACCACGTCGGTAAATGAATTCGTCGCTAAGTGAGGAGGATACTATAATGGTAGTAGGCTTGTTTCAACCATCTTCGGTATTGTTTTAATGTCACCTTTGCACTATTTATAACATTTCTGGTATATTTTTAACCCATAAACAATCCAAGCAGATCTACATTCACATGTGTAGTGCTCCAAAAGTAGATCTATGTTTATTTTACATATTTTCAAATATAACAAAAAAAAAAGTAGATCAAAGTTTTTTACACATTTTCAAATGAAAAAAAAAAAAAAAAAAAAAGATCTACTTTTTTTACATACTTTCAACTGTTGAAAAAACGTATATATACGTTTGGACCGTTACGGGTTAAATGTTTATACAGTGGTGTACTGTATACTGTAATACACAAAATAGAGGAAATCAGCTCTAATATACATTATTTAGGTTTGCATACTGGTCGGAGAGCTCATCGTAAGTCTGAGTTGTCGGTAAACGAGTACGTTGCTAAGTGAGGAGAGGCTGTACTCTCTTCATTATCTTATCCCACTACATCCTCTCTACACACCCAAACCACCTCATCTCATCACCTTTTCATTTTTACGCTACAAATTCTCTGCATACTGACAAAACACATTGCTCTTTAGCCTCTTTCTTGCTGTAGTGTTCAAAATCTATACCACACACCTATATACGAATATTGATACATTCCTTATTTTGTCTCCACAGATAAACTGCTTTCCACAGATGCCTCAACACAATGCCCATCTACCCACCTCATCTATTCTGTGGTTCACCACATCTTTCATAGACCCATCTGCTGATTTGTCTACTCCCATACAATCATTTTATCAGACTAGGTAGTAAACCAGGATTATCTACTCCTAAATATCCAAATACATTCACTTCCACCATACTCCCTTCTGTCTATCTGATATTTAATCTATCATTGCCTAGATTTTTTGTCCCCCTCATCACCTTGCTCTTTTCTATATTCACTTTTAGTTTCTTTCTTTTACATACCCTCCTAAATTCATCTACCCACCACAGCAACTGTGTCACCAGCAAAGAGTAATTGTGATAATTTCCACTGTGTATCAGATCCAATATCTTGTAATCCTACACCTCTTCACAGCAACCTAGCATTCACTTCTTTCACAACCCCATATTACTATTATATATTCAGATCTGTTGGAGTGTGAGCAGGGTAATATTTAGTGAAGGGATTCAGGGAAACCGGTTATTTTATATAACTGGACTTGAGTCCTGGAAATGGGAAGTACAATGCCAGCACTCTAAAGGAGGGGTTTGGGATACTGGCAGTTTGGAGAGATATATTGTGTATTTTTATACGTATATACTTCTAAGCTGTTGTATTCTGGGCACCTCTGCAAAAACTGATTATGTGTGAGTGAGGTGAAAGTGTTGAATGATGATGAAAGTATTTTCTTTTTGGGGATTTTCTTTCTCTTTGGGTCACCCTGCCTCGGTGGGAGACGGCCGACTTGTTGAGAAAAAAAAATATTTATTAAATGCTAATGACCACTTAAAAGCTGCCCCTTTAAAAATGATGGATTGATCACATAATGTTTCTCTCTCCCCTGCTTCTGCTGTCTACAATATTTGTCACCTCTGTATTCAACTTGTTGGTACTGTATACCATTATTATAATGCTACTGTCATAACACGGTGAGAGCAAATAACATTAAGAAATAACCAATAGCTTAAAAAAATATATAAAAATTTAAGTCAATACTTTTATACTCTAAAACTACCAATCTCTGTTACTAAATCTAATATTGTTTTAGCAGTTCATCCTCAATCTCTGTTACCAAATCTGATATTGTTTTAGTAGTTCATCTTCAATTTTTCAAAGTCATTGCACTTACCTGAGTGCACAGGTGTAAAGCCTCTAAAACCTGCAACAGATCTAAGGCATCACATTCAGGGAAGCTCATTTGGAAGTCGTCAACAGTGTAACAGCCTGCCACAGAAAACAAACATTCTGAGTTGGGTACTTACATGTAAATATGTACTTCTTCAAATAAATAACAAAAAGGCACAATACCGTGACTGGAACGATACACAAATAACCCGTAAGCTTCTCTCTTTTATGTGCGGGTTATTTGTGTATACTTCTTCAAATAATTAAACCCAGCATATGAACACCTTGAATATTTTCTGTTCTTTTAGTGAATCAGCAATAACAACAAATTTGAACACTTGCATACATGCTTAATATATTTAGTTTTGTGAAAGGGTTAGGAGTAACTACCAATACTTCACTGTCATTCATTAATAGAAAAAACCATAAACATTGCTATTTGTCCTCCTTTCTCACATTTTATTTTGTCACATTGTAATATAATCACCATTACTGAGTGCTACACATATTCAAACTCAAGAGTATAATTCTATATGAAGAACAGTACAGTAGACCATCATTTAGCACGAGTTTATTTGGCATGATTCAGTATAGCATGATTGAAGAATTAAGGCACTATTTGAAGTAATGCATCGTAAAATTAATTTAACACAGTTCAGTTTGCTGGAAGGAAAAAAAAAAATTCCCTTTTCCTCAAGTGGCCGCCTAGTTGAGGTTCAGCGAGGGAAACGTCCCGCCATCCCCTGCCACCCTCCAACACCATCCCACCATTCGTACTTCATACGTGTCCAGTCCATCTCCTCTGCTACAAGCTAGCTGTGTTTGTGAATTGTTTTGATCTTTCAATTACAGTGAGCCCCAGCCATTCAGCGGCCGCGACTATTGTGAAATCCGGCTTTCGGCAACTTTTTCTACCAAAATATAGCCTTGCGGTTTGTGATTGGCCTCGTGATTCGGCGACTGTCCAGTACGTGGTCACCGCTAGCACGCACACAAAGCCAGTCTCCCGCACCATTCACAGTGTGTCATTGCATACCAGCGAGTGACCATCACCCCCACGGGTTCATACGATACATTTCATAATAATCCATTGTTTCTTGTGCTTGCAACTGCTTAATAAGTCACCATGGGCCTGAAGAAAGCTAGTGCCAGCCCTAAGACCAGTAAAGGCTGGTTTGAGAGATTCAAGAAGCGTAGTGGCATACACAGTGTGGTATGGTATCCCCAGATAAGGACTTGGTACCTGAAGTCTTTATGGATGGGGATTCCCCTTCCAAACAATAGTGCACCTTCATCCTCTCCCCTCCTCCCATCTTCCATCCACCCAGAAGTCTTCGGTAAAGTGTAATGTTGTTATTATTTTATATATGTATGTACTTGAGTTCTCACTGTTTTCTGAATGTAAATCTTTATTTATTTTGAAAAAAAAAAATTTTTTTTAATATTTTTGAATGTCTGGAAAGGATTAATTTTATTTCCATTATTTCTTATTGGGAAAATGGTTTTGCCATTCGTCAATTTTGTCCTACGGCAGACTCTCTGGAATGGATTAATTACGAGACTCAGGGGTCCACTGTACTATATCTTGTATCTGCCAAGCAATCATGACACCAGTAGGCATACCAGTATTGCTGAAAGTGGCAAGAAAAGGTATAAGCATTTAACTGAAAGTGGCAAGAAAAGGTATAAGCACTTAAGTCTTAGAATTAACGAAGAAACCAAAGGTATTAGACAAGAGATAACCTGTGGCCTTAATGAAGTGTTACTTTGTACACATAAAAAGAGGCAACATAAGTTTGTGTGACTGACTGACTGGCTTACTGAATGACTTACTGACTTGACTGAATGACTTACTGATTTGATTGAATAACTTACTGACTTGAGTGAGTGAATGACTTGACTTACTGACTTGACTGACTGACTGCCTGAATGACTTGATTGACTTACTGAATGACTGACTGAATGACTTGACTGACTTACTGAATGACTGACTGAATAACTTACTGAGTGACTTGACTGAATGACTTGACTGACTGAATGACCCTTGAATTAACCCCTTGATTATCGCAACCCCAAATCCTGAGGTGTCTCCTGGTGTCGCAAAAAAAAAAAAAAAAAAAAAAAAAAAAAAAAAAAAAAAAAAAAAAAAAAAAAAAAAAAAAAAAAAAAAAAAAAAAAAATCTTATGAAATGATAGAGAATCTTTTCCTGATTGTAATGACACCAAAAGAATGAAATTTGATGGAAAACTGACAGTATTACGCTCTCACAAAGTTATCAACCTCGGCAATATTTACAAATCGGCGATTTCGCCCACTTTGAGCCCTATTTTCGGCTAATTCCATTGTTCCAGTTGACCAAACTCATAGCTATTTCTTTAGGACTCCATTTTTTCTATCGATTGAGTACAAGAAACTCCCCATTTACCGATTTCAACTACCCAATAACATGGTCAGAAATTTGCAATTTGGCCAATTTCACTAAAATTTTAAAAAATGACAATTTCAAAATAGAGTCCAGAATGAACAATGCAGATATTCCTGGCTCTAAAATAACATTTTCTTTGTTCATCAGCCACGTCTCCAGGCCCTTCTGATATTACTCTTGCTTTCTATTTTGAATTTTTATGCAAACAAAAAATAGAAGATTTACTGCTATGCAGACTACTGCAATACTGTAATAATTGTATAAATAATGTCAACCCATTCATGACTGCATATTAGAAAGGCTACCTGGACATTTACTGGAAAATGACATATGTTTACTTTTGAACATCGGCAAATATCAAACATTTCCCCTACTTTGAGCTCCATTTCAAGGTTCTTTTCATAGTAAAACCAATCAAAATCACCTCTATTTCTACAATATGTTTTCCATTCAATCAAATGAGACCAAGAAAACGATAATACAACCATAAATACTATAGGAAAATAGACCACAAATTCGGCATTTTAATTAAAAAAAAAAAAGTCAGTTTTTTTTCTCATTATGCACTGCGTGCTGCAGGATTTTTTTTATATGGTGCACACTGACCACAAAGACCCATTTTCTCACGTGTGGGCCTACCAGCTTTCTCCTGCTTGATTTGAAGCCGCTAGAATTTATGAGTATATATACGTCAAAAACGGTGGCTCGTAAGACGTATATATACGACTGAAACAGTCAAAGGGTTAAAGTTAGACACTCCAGTACAACCATCAACTTCAGTACCAGAACCTCTACCATCCACCTCAGTCCAGTAGGACCACAGCATAACTCTACACTCTCTTCACAATCATCCACAAACACCAGCACCCACAATTTAAGGTAAGACATACTATTATTTCAGTTACATTTGTAGTCTTAAGCAGTAAAAACAACATAATACATCACAACAATGAACTACAATTACATATTCACTTTTATTTTTGTAAGATGTGGAGGCCTAAAAAAAAAATATTTGGCTTTTTTGTGGACTGGGCCGCGGGGATGTTGATCCCCGGAATGCCCTCCAGATAGACTCCAGGTAGGTAGGCCCCCAGGAACGTAACCCTATTTTTTCAAGTTCTTCAGTTCATCTAACACGGTTTTACCTAACACTGCATTTTCAGGAACATAACTACCGTGTTAAATGGTCTACTGTGCAATAATTCAAGATTACCTATTGAAATAGACAAAACTTTCCTTTCTCAATCAATATAATGCCACTCAAAGTGTTTTCTTTTACATACACAAAGAATATAATACATCAGATATCAAAGATACATAAATCAAATTAAGGTCTTTTACCAATCCTTAACTGTCCAAACGTAGATCTACGTTGTTACCGCTGGCACTCCAAATGTAGATCTATGTTTTATTTTTCCTGCCTCCAAATACAGTGGACCCCCGGTTAACAAACTTTTTTCATTCCAGTAGTATGTGCAGGTGCCAGTACTGACCGAATTTTTTCCCATAAGGAATATTGTGAAGTAGATTAGTCCATTTCAGACCCCCAAGCATACACGTACAAACGCACTTACATAAATACACTTACATAATTGGTCGCATTTGGAGGTGATCGTTAAGCGGGGGTCCACTGTATAGCACGATTGGCCTGAGATACCTGGTCAGCATAGAATGGGTCTTAACATTCTGTGTGTGCAGTATTAAAAAAATCTGGTACCACTTAGTACCTTGTGGGAGCACCAGTTCAACTGAGTGCCAGCTATAGCAAACAGCATGGCAAACATCAGGGATTCACTGATGTCATGTATTAACACCCCTTCTAAGAGGAAAGTGATGTTGACCCAGAGTTTAGTAGCTTTGAGGTGGATGTGGCCTCAAGTGGTTGAGGAAATATCAAAAACCTTGATAATAACTCACATGCAACATTTGTGCAATATCCTTTTAATTCTAGTACCACTGGTAGTGTCATCCTGCCAGAAAGTCCTATAACCTATGCTGTAAGTAAAGCGAAACAATTCTGGAACGTGTAATACATGTTCGGCAGGCTGGCCAGGTGGGTGTCTCCATTTCCAACTGTCGGTATCTATCTCTGTCTCTGTATCTATCTCTGTCTCTGTATCTATCTCTATCTCTGTATTTATCTCTGTCTCTATAGATGTCTGTCTCTATAGCTGTCTCTGTCTCTATCTCTGTATCTGTCTCTATCTCACAGGTACACATAAATACATTTATACATAGTGTAAATTACCTAGGATAACCCCAAAAACCAGACAAAGTGCTATACTGTACTTGTAGATATAATGCATAATAAGCATGACTGGCAAGTAATACGCATTTTCACATGTTCAGGGATCAGACATGACAACTCTGCATCTCTGCATAGTGTGTAATACCTGTTGGTTCACAAGTTGCTCTCTCTGAGACAGGGAGACAAGCAGAGAGACAGAGAAACAAGTAGACAAAGACAGATAAGCAGAGACAGAGATAAACAGAGAACTAGACAGACAGATAGACAGACAATGAAAACAAATAAAGCGAAGGCAGTGCACGATCATCAAATGTCACTCCACTGCTGCACTGTCAGCAGTGGAGTGACACTCATCTTACTCCCGCATGTCCAAAACATTGCTGGGACCTATAAATACTATGCATACATTGCTAAACAATAGTATGTGACTAAGGTAGGTGAAAATGTTCACCTGTCACTGTGTTTGTGCCTATTTGAGTACTATTTCAGTACCTAATATCAGTGTCAGAACAAAGATTGGCTATGAAATCACAAGAACTACTTTACAAATTGTAATTATTAGAACATAATAATTATATAAATTAAAAAAATGAGAAAAAAGGTATATCGGCAACACTTCTGCAAAGCAGCAGCACATCATGTTGCCGTCAGGCGAGTGACAAGCGCCTACTTTGCGGCTTTATATCTCCATAAGTACTAATTTTTTTTTACATTACTTTATGTAAAAAAATGTCCTATTTAATTTTTCTTTCCAAAATATTCGGAGTGGTGGGAAAGAGAACGTAGATCTACATTTGGACAGTTAAGGGGTTAAGAAAGGGAATTTATTATAAGAGCCATGTACCTATGAGGCAATTTTTATGTTTGAGATTAATACAAGAACCTTGCCTTAAGGCCCTTACTATAATCATATATTCTACAAAATACAAAAAAAAGAAGTCTTTCAATATTCTATGCATTTTCATCTTACCAGTGACTCTTGCCTGGGCAGCATACTGTGTAGAAAGTAGATGACCTAGCTGTTGGTGAGTAAGCCAGGCAGGGTCCAGCACCACAAGATCCTGTGCTTCTGCCTTTAAATAAACTACTTCACCCATCAGTTGCAGCTGCTGCACTACCTATAGTTATTAAGATAAAAGGGATAAAACAAAATGAAAAATGATTATTATTATTTTTTTTATTAACACACTGGCCGATTTCCACCAAGGCAGGGTGGCCCGAAAAAAGAAAAACTTTCACCATCATTCACTCCATCACTGTCTTGCCAGAAGGGTGCTTTACACTACAGTTTATAAACTGCAATATTAACACCCCTCCTTCAGAGTGCAGGCACTGTACTTCCCATCTCCAGGACTCAAGTCCGGCCTGCCGGTTTCCCTGAATCCCTTCATAAATGTTACTTTACTCACACTCCAACAGCACGTCAAGTATTAAAAACCATTTGTCTCCATTCACTCCTATCAAACACGCTCACGCATGCCTGCTGGAAGTCCAAGCCCCTCGCACACAAAACCTCCTTTACCTCCTCCCTCCAACCTTTCCTAGGCTGACCCCTACCCTGCCTTCCTTCCACTACAGACTGATACACTCGTGAAGTCATTCTGTTTCGCTCCATTCTCTCTACATGTCCGAACCACCTCAACAACCCTTCCTCAGCCCTCTGGACAACAGTTTTGGTAATCCTGCACCTCCTCCTAACTTCCAAACTACGAATTCTCTGCATTATATTCACACCACACATTGCCCTCAGACATGACATCTCCACTGCCTCCAGCCTTCTCCTCGCTGCAACATTCTTCACCCATGCTTCACACCCATATAAGAGCGTTGGTAAAACTATACTCTCATACATTCCCCTATTTGCGTCCAAGGACAAAGTTCTTTGTCTCCACAGACTCCTAAGTGCACCGCTCACCCTTTTCCCCTCATCAATTCTATGATTCACTTCATCTTTCATAGACCCATCCACTGACATGTCCACTCCCAAATATCTAAATACATTCACCAAATTCATCCACCAACCTCTGCAACTTCTCTTCAGAATCTCCTAAGAGCACAGTGTCATCAGCAAAGAGCAACTGTGACAACTCCCACTTTATGTGTGATTCTTTATCTTTTAACTCCATGCCTCTTGCCAAGACCCTCGCATTTACTTCTCTTACAACCCCATCTATAAATATATTAAACAACCATGGTGACATCACACATACTTGTCTGAGGCCTACTTTTACTGGGAAATAATCTCCCTCTTTCCTACATACTCTAACTTGAGCCTCAATATCCTCGTAAAATCTCTTCACTGCTTTCAGTAACCTACCTCCTACACCATACACCTGCAACATCTGCCACATTGCTCCCCTATCCACCCTGTCATATGCCTTTTCCAAATCCATAAATCCCACAAAAACCTCTTTAGCCTTATCTAAATACTGTTCACTTATATGTTTCACTGTAAACACCTGGTCCACATACGCCTACCTTTCCTAAAGCCTCCTTGTTCATCTGCTATCCTATTCTCCGTCTTACTCTTAATTCTTTCAATAATAACTCTACCATACACTTTACCAGGTATACTCAACAAACTTATCCCCCTATAATTTTTGCACTCTCTTTTGTCCCCTTTGCCTTTATACAAAGGAACTATGCATGCTCTCTGCCAATCCCTAGGTACCTTACCCTCTTCCATACATTTATTAAATAATTGCACCAACCACTCCAAAACTATATCCCCACCTGCTTTTAACATTTCTATCTTTATCCCATCAATCCCGGCTGCCTTACCCCCTTTCATTTTACCTACTGCCTTCACAACTTCCCCACACTCACAACTGGCTCTTCCTCACTCCTACAAGATGTTATTCCTCCTTGCCCTATACACGAAATCACAGATTCCCTATCATTATCAACATTTAACAATTCCTCAAAATATTCCCTCCATCTTCCCAATACCTCTAACTCTCCATTTAATAACTCCTCTCCTATTTTTAACTGACAAATCCATTTGTTCTCTAGGCTTCCTTAACTTGTTAATCTCACTCCAAAACTTTTTCTTATTTTCAACAAAATTTGTTGATAACATCTCACCCACTCTCTCATTTGCTCTCTTTTTACATTACTTCACCACTCTCTTAACCTCTCTCTTTTTCTCCATATACTCTTCCCCCCTTGCATCACTTCTACTTTGTAAAAACTTCTCATATGCTAACTTTTTCTCCCTTACTACTCTCTTTACATCATCATTCCACCAATCGCTCCTCTTCCCTTCCGCACCCACTTTCCTGTAACCACAAACTTCTGCTGAACACTCTAACACTACATTTTTAAACCTACCCCATACCTCTTCGACCCCATTGCCTATGCTCTCATTAGCCCATCTATCCTCCAATAGCTGTTTATATCTTACCCTAACTGCCTCCTCTTTTAGTTTATAAACCTTCACCTCTCTCTTCCCTGATGCTTCTATTCTCCTTGTATCCCATCTACCTTTTACTCTCAGTGTAGCTAGAACTAAAAAGTGATCTGATATATCTGTGGCCCCTCTATAAATATGTACATCCTGAAGTCTACTCAACAGTCTTTTATCTACCAATACATAATCCAACAAACTACTGTCATTTTGCCCTACATCATATCTTGTATGCTTATTTATCCTCTTTTTCTTAAAATATGTATTACCTATAACTAAACCCCTTTCTATACAAAGTTCAATCAAAGGGCTCCCATTATCATTTACACCTGGCACCCCAAACTTACCTACCACACCCTCTAAAAGTTTCTCCTACTTTAGCATTCAGGTCCCCTACCACAATTACTCTCTCACTTGGTTCAAAGGTTCCTATACATTCACTTAACATCTCCCAAAATCTCTCTCCTCTACATTCCTCTCTTCTCCAGGTGCATACACGTTTATTATGACCCACTTTTCCCATCCAACCTTTACTTTAATCCACATAATTCTTGAATTTACACATTCATATTCTCTTTTCTCCTTCCATAACTGATCCTTCAACATTACTGCTACCCCTTCCTTAGCTCTAACTCTCTCATATTCCAGATTTAATCCCATTTACTTCCCCCCACTGAAACTCCCCTACCCCCTTCAGCTTCGTTTCGCTTAGGGCCAGGACATCCAACTTCTTTTCATTCATAACATCAACAATCATCTGTTTCTTGTCATCCACACTACATCCACGCACATTCAAGCATCCCAGTTTTATAAAGTTTTCCTTCTTCTCTTTTTTAGTAAATGTCTACAGGAGAAGGAGTTACTAGCCCATCGCTCCCGGCATTTTAGTCGCCTCATACAACACACATGGCTTACGGAGGAAAGATTCTTTTCCACTTCCCCATGGACAATAGAAGAAATAAAGAAGAGCAAGAGCTATTTAGAAAAAGGATAAAAACCTAGATGTATGTATATATATATATGCATGTGCGTGTCTGTGAAGTGTGACCAAAGTGTAAGTAGGAGTAGCAAGATATCCCTGTTATCTAGCGTGTTTATGAGACAGAAAAAGAAACCAGCAATCCTACCATCATGTAAAACATGAAAAATATTAATGTTAATGAAGAGCATGCACTTTCACATTATATGAAATATGATCAATATCTTGTGATATTTATTTTATTGTATAAATAGTAATGGTAGAAGACTTAAAAATTAATTATCTGAATGTGTGCCACATATTTCACAGATAAACAGGGTTGCACCTCAACAAGAACACAATCATTTACATTTCTAATGCTTGTAGAAGTGCTAAGAATACAGCTATTCCCAGACATTGAAATAATTTATGATACAACCACTAGTACCGGACATTGGTTTTGTTCAATTCAAATCATATTTGTATATGCTGTTGTACAATGCCTCGGTGAATTAATACAAATCATATTCACAAAAATGCTAAAACCACATGGGTTATTCAACACTGCATGGCAGAGAGGTGCTGATGTCAATGAAAAGAGTCGAAAATGAATCTAAAAAAATTAAAATATACTTAAATAAGTGAAAAAAAGCATGTTTTTTAATGCATATGAAATATTTTTAATTTGATAAGTGACATAAAGGGCAATGGTTTACCTTATATCATCTGTCCGCTACTTTCAACTGCTGGAACTTCTCATTTTTTGAGGTGATGACCATATACAGAATCCTCTCCAAAATATCAAATGTCTTACAGTGTTCTCAATACAGTGCACTTTTAATAGCTGTCAAAGAATTTCACATGCAGATTCAGCCAAAGTAAAGCAAATATGTCTTGTTTCTGTTAGAAAACAAGAATGAGTGGAAATAAGTACTGCCTACAGCCAATATAAATAAGTGGAAAAGCAGAGGGAATTAAACCAAGAGAGGATGAAAAATAAAGACAACTGAATAATAGCACACATTTAGAGATATCTCAAGATAGAGAAAATTCAATAGGCCATCAAGTGGCATTACAGTGTGAGTGTAATACAAAATGAACTAATAGTAATGAAAAAGGGGTACCTGGTATGTACATCTTTTTACTTGTCACAGTATAACATCTATGGCTAATTGAGTCTACTAACTCATAGGCAAGAAAAATATAAGTTAAGCATATACTGTATATGCACTCTTCAATTATTTTCCTTTTACTTTTGGCTAAGTGAAGTTCAGTTAGTTACATGACACTAACCTATCCTACACACATTGTGTACAATATAAGAACAGCTGTACTGGGATGGCCCAATAGTGGAGAATATAGCCTCAACAATGCTTCAGTGTGTGTTAGGGAAGGATAGAACCTGCCTCCTGGCAGTGAGAGCTCCTCATGCAGGGGGCTTTCTGTTGACCGTTCCAAACTCCAGCCTTGGCACACGCCTCAACCCACAGACCATCCGCACTGGTGTTGCCCATCGACTTGCCACCCCTATTCTCGCCAAACACAGGTGTTTGGCAGTAAGGGAGCCACCTCAACTATGCAGATCTGATGGCAGCCAGAAGTGTCCAGATGGTATCACCCTTCAAGCCTGGACAGACGGCAAGCAGGTGGTGTGGGACTACACATGTGCATCTACCTTGGCTGATACCTATCTCCAATACACCAGGGAGGAAGAAGGGGCAGCCGCCAGCTTCAGGGAGTCCCAGAAATCTAGAAAATATGGAGAACTTGCCCATCATTATATGTTTGTTCCCACAGGCTCAGAGACCCTTGGCTCATGGGGAAAGAATGCATCTAAGTTCCTTAAGGAGCTAAGCAAAAGACTCATCAGGGTAACTAGGGATCCCAGGGCAGCTTGTTTTCTGTTCCAGCAATTCAGCGCTGCTGTTCAGAGGGGTAATGTCTGCTGTATTTTGGGCACACGCCCCAGCTCTGAGGAGCTGGATGAGATTTTCACATTATAATCAGTGAAATACACATAACAATATGTACTAGGCATGTATCTCTCACACCTCGTATACTGTATATGCCATCTTTATATCAACAATGTATCTCTTAAATCTTTTGTACCATATTATGTAATAAAATATACCTATTGGTAAAAAAGAATGAAAAGATAGGGGTGGTAGGGGAAGTGGAATATTCAAATGGCTTCAGGAAGAAATCCAAATATTCTTCCTTGAAGCCTTTTTATATAAGAATAGCTAATCAGCAATATGTGAGTGTATGGGAAACACTCTTATATAGGTGTGAAGCCTGGGTAGTAAATGCTGCAGTGAGGAGGTGGTTGGAGGCAGTGGAGATGTCCTGTCTAAGGGCAATGTGTGGTGTAAATATTATGCAGAAAATTCAGTGTGGAAATTAGGAGAAGGTGCGGAGTTAATAAAAGTATTAGTCAGTGGGCTGAAGAGAGGTTGTTGAGGTGGTTTGGTCATTCAGAGAGAATGGATCAAAGTAGAATGACATGGAGAGCGTATAAATCTGTAGGGAAAGGAAGGCGGGGTAGGGGTCATCCTCGAAAAGGTTGGAGGGAGGGGGTAAAGGAGATTTTGTGGGCAAGGGGCTTGAACTTCCAGCAAGTGTGCATGAGCGTGTTAGACAGGAGTGAATGGAGACAAATGGTATTTGGGACCTGACGAGCTGTTGGAGTGTGAGCAGGGTAATATTTAGTGAAGGGATTCAGGGAAGCCAGTTATTTTTATATAGCCGGACTTGAGTCCTGGAAATGGGAAGTACAATGCCTGCACTTTAAAGGAGGGGTTTGGGATATTGGCAGTTTGGAGGGATATGTTGTGTATCTTTATACGTATATGCTTCTAAACTATTGTATTCTGAGCACCTCTGCAATAACAGTGATTATGTGTGAGTGAGGTGAAAGTGTTGAATGATGATGAAAGTATTTTCTTTTCGGGGATTTTCTTTCTTTTTGGGTTACCCTGCCTCAGTGGGAGATGGCCGACTGGTTAAAAAAAAAAAGCATGGGAAACAGCTGTCAAAGAATAGAACACAGAATTAACTACATGCCTATCACATATGTTACAAAGACAAGTTACCAGTATACAAAAATGGCACCAATAAAACACATTTAATCTAAAATGACTTGACTTGTACTAACCTCACGTAAGTGCTCTTCACCAGCCAGAGGGTTGACCCTCTGATGAGTTACATCAACAAACTGGGGCCACGACACAACTGGAAACTCTCCTAGTGATGCTCGCCACTCAGTCAAAGTGCTCACCACTGCTCCCAGAAAGCCTGTCACTCGTGGTACTCCCTGCACAATCAGTATCAGTAGGGTAACAAACTAAATTTTTCTAATGTTTATATAAAATAAAATATATTACCAAACTGCATTAACATTACTCTTTAATATTCTTATTATTTTCAAATTTAAGAATATATGCTTACATACTTTGATAAGTCTATAGTTTATAACTGTTAGAATTATTCAATAATGTATTATTCAATAATCTATTGCACCTAGTCTGAAATTTAAAGTGACACATCTTAAAACTTTTCCTAAATCTAGTTTATACACTATATTAAATTATAATATAGACTTACTACTTCTCTCTATCAATTAACTATAATTATGACATCCAAACTGGCTTTGTATAATTCAGATTATTCAATTTATATGAGGTCTGATCAAAAAGTTGAGACTAAGCATACTTGTATCACAGTCTATGAATTGCATTATTGGAATGCATAACTACCATCTCAGAATTCAGAACCTAAGAGTTCAGTACTGTATAAGTTTTCATCACTTTCCAGTGGTACATTGTAGGCAAGAAAGCATAGCCATTACTGTGGTGCACTATATTATTTAGCAGTTTTTACACTGTACATCAGGTAACTTTTTTCTATGGTTAATCAATGTAGAGTTCTTTCGCAATGCTTCCCTGAGTTAATTCAAAAGAGTGGCACACAAAGGCCAACTGAATGGCCTTGTGTTTTATTTTTACTATTTTTATGGAAAAGATCTAAACTTGTGGGCATCAAACACTGCCTGGGAAATGGAAGGTAATCAGGTAAGAGTAACAACAATTCCTCAGATCAAGAGCTCTTCACCAGCATCAAAATATATCCCCTTTGAAGGGATGACCTTGTGGAACACAGTGGTGCACTAGACCCTCATGATATGTATCTCAGTACTAGCTGTTTTCTTCCATCTACTGCACAACATTGGAGAGATTATATGACACTTATGAGGCAGAGTCCTTAAATACTGAGAATGCACTCTAATAACAAATTTAACTTTTGCACATTATGTTTATATAATAAAATCAGCCTCAGAACTTACTGACCACTACTCTTAACCCTTTCAGGGTCCAAACCGTAGATCTACGCCATAAGCTCAGCTCACTGATAAGCTGTGAGTGGTAAATTTGGGCCTAGATATGAGAGAATACATCTATGTGGTATGTGTGCACCACATAAAACAAGTCCTGCAGCACAGAGTGTGTAATGAGAGAAAAAAAACTGAGACCGTGATTTTTTATTAAAACAGCGACTTTGCAGTGCTTTTTCGTATGTTTTTTATAGTTGTATTTGCGATTTCTTGGTCTCATTTGATAGAATGGAAGACATATTACAGAAATAGAGATGATTTTGATTGGTTTTAGCACTGGAAATAGCTTGAAACTGAGCTCAAAGTAGCGGAAATGTTAAATTTTTGCCGATGTTCAAGAGTAAACCAACGACTTCACACATCTAATACACGCCAGCTGGTGGGCCTAATATACATTCACAAATGTGGTGATGATATTTATACAATTATTACAATATTTCATAACAGTAAATCTTCTATTTTTTGGTTTGAATAAAAATTCATTATGTGAATAAAAAATCAAAATGGAATTAATTTGTAAAGCCTCAAAACATAGCTAATGAACAGAGGAAATGTTAGTTTAGTGCCAGGAGTACCTACATTGCTTATTCTCGACCCTATTTTGAAATTGGAATATTTTGAACTTTGTGATAAATTGGCCAAATTACCAATTTCCGATCACTTTATTTTGTAGTTGAAACAGTTGACTTGGCGATTTCTTGTGCTCAATCGATAGAATAGATGTAATACTAGTGAAATAGCTAAGAATTTGGTCAACTGGAATAATGTAATTGGCCTAAAATGGGAGTCAAAGTCGGCAAAATCGTCGATTCGTAAATATCGCTGACACATCAAAATTCGCGAGAGCATAATTTTGTCAATTTTCCATCAAATTTCATACTTTTTGTTTTATTACCTTCAGAAAAAGATTCTCTACCATTTCACAAGAAAATTTTTTTTTTTGAAAATTCTTGGACCCTGGTTGTGCACTTTGAAATTTGGCCTCTGGACCCTGAAAGGGTTAAAGAACATCAAGTTCCTGATACAGTATTTCTACAACTGTGTAAGCACTATCTAATTAACACACCTAATATATAGAGATTCTTAATTCATACTTAACCAAACGATTTTTATTGACAAAAGGGAGAACTGAGAACATTTTTACTTATTAACACATAGTAACATCAAGAGGGATTGTTGCAGTCAGCATACATATTACATTTGCTGAAAGCCAGAACCCACAAGGCAATGCATAAATGTACATGCATGCAACTTATTTATAGGTATGCCTTTTTTGTATAAATGCATTTGACATTCCTCCCTCTACATGGCTGGATGGTTGATGAAAAATTTCTAAATTACAAAATTTGTAAATTATTTTGTGCTGACCACTTTTAAGGCTTAACGTGCCTAGTCAAATTTGATGTAAAAATTTCATTCAGTTTTCTAAAACCATTGATGCCTGTGGCACGTGTGTTAACCCTTAAACGGTCCAAACAGATCGACGTTCAGATTCATAGTGCTACAAAAGTAGATCTACTTTTTTTTTATATATTTTCAAATATAACAAAAAAAATGTTGATAAAAGTTTTTTTTACACGTTTTCACATGTAAAACAAAACAAAAAAATCTACATTTTTTTACATACTTTCAGATGTTGAAAAAACGTATATATACATTTGGACCATTTAAGGGTTAAATATATTACAGTACTACTGAGAACAGCAACAGCAACTCAACATCCTTAATTATTTGCTCACACAGTAATTATAAAGTACCCAAATGGCAAACTTTAACCTTTTCAGGGTCGACAGGCCCTCTCAGAGACTTGTTCTCAGGTTCCCCCCCCCCCCCCCAAAAAAAAAAAAAAAAAAAAAAAAAAAAAAAAAAAAAACATCTTATGAAAAGATAGAGAATCTTTTTCCGATCATAATGACACCAAAAGTATGAAATTTGATGGAAAACTTACGGAATTATGCTCTCACGAAGTTAGCGGTCTCGACGATGTTTATGCATCGGCGATTTTGCCCACTTTGAGCCCTATTTTCGGCCAATTCCAATATACTTGTCAACAAAAATAGTAACTATTTCGCTAGAACTCCATTTTTTCTATCGAATGAGTACAAGAAATCACCCATTTACCGATTTCAACTATCCAATACAGTGGTCAGAATTTAGCAATTTTGCCAATTTCACACAAATTTCAAAAGATGCCAATTTCCGAATAGGGTCCAGAATAAACAAAAGACATTCCTGGCACTAAAATAACATTTCCTCTGTTCATTAGTCACGTCCCCATGCCCCTCTTACATTCTTTTGCTTTCCACTTTGAATTTTTATTCTCACAAAAAAATAGAAGATTTACTGTTATGCAGACTACTGCATTGGTGTAGAAATGGTATAAATAATATCAGCACACTTGTGAAAGAATATTAGAGTCACCAGTTGACGTGTATTGGACACATAGCACGATTTATTTACTTTTGAACTTGGGTAAAAATCGAACATTTCTGCTACTTTGAGCTCAATTTCAAGGTACTTTTCTTTGTAAAACCAGTCAAAATCATCTCAATTTCTGTAATATGTCTTCCATTCTATAAAATGAGACCAGGAAAATTAGAATACAACAATAAATACCATACGAAAATACAGTGCAAAGTCGCTGTTTTAATCCAAAAACACGGTCAAAGTTTTTTTTTCTCATTACACACTGTGTGCTGCAGGATTTTTTTTATACCATGCACACTGACCACATAGACCCATTCTTTCATATGTATGACTACCAGCTTTCTCCCACTAGATTTGAGGGCGCTAGAATTTAGGCGTACTAGTACGTCAAAAACCCTGGCTCGTAAGCCGTACTAGTACGGCCGAAACCCTGAAAGGGTTAATATTAATTATCATTGATTAGACAAATGATGTTGCAACATTAACTACTACATATACTGTGCTGTATATGCACATTCTCATGAACAAATATTTCAGAAACATGGGGATTATACTTATATGTATTGTATTAAAATTTATTCAATTAATACAAATTAATTCAAATAGCATTCAGATTTATTCCTACCCTTAATTATGTGTAATTAAAAGCTGATTTAACATGAAAATGCAGGTGTACATTCAGTATTTTTTATACAGATTCATCAAGCCCAATTCATCAATAATTTAATAATACAGTATGTTGTTATAATCAAGAGAAAGTGCTAAACCAATAGGGGTTATATGACAAATGGGAGACATTCCAGTTTGAGCCAAGGGAAGGATAGATCCACTTCCTCAGATCAAGAACCCCTCATTAGCTGTCAAACATAAGATATATATTCAGTCTTCTATTACAAAATATTGTTCTTGTACCTATTTGTTCCAAGGTCATCATCACTTATGAAGCCTCCTCAGCTTTGATTAACAGGAATTATTACTATTTTCAAGGAAAGTGATAAACCCATAAGGGTCACTCAGAGCTACATAACAAAGGTGAAAAAAATGTTCCGTGGGCAAACAGTAGGGGTTTGTGGAAGGAATGGCAATTTGCAGAATGGTGAAGGGTAAAGAAGGAAAGTTACAACTGATGTAGCAAATTGGTGTTAGTTACGAAATCAGACAGAGTCTGCATTGAAGGTGGAACCTTCGGAAATATTTCCTTCAGAGACATCATGCTCTTACGAAGAACAATCACTCAAAGAGATGTTGAACATTCAGGATGGCTTGACAGTTGTCTTTGATAACATGGAAGAGTTGTGACTCGTGACAAGTACATACCTGGACCTGGTAGATCATTCATTGTTCTTGACAATAAAAAGTAAATACAGTACAAACCTATGTAAGAAAACCCAAGGTAAACCAATGAAACAAAAATATAAGCCACTACCACAAGCAAATACAAAGAGAACCAAGTCAAAACAGAAGAAAACAAAACCAGTTGCAGTCCAAACAATTTC